GCTACAGGTTTACATGACCCTATGTGATTTGTACTTTCAAATAATTAATTAGTAAATCAATATTCATGTGACATAGCCATATATAAGGCAATAAAGACATGTAAACGAGAGCATTGGCTTTGATGTCAAAGAGCTTAAATTGAGCATAACTACCATATACTTCATAACTTTGTATAACACAGTTATCCAACCTTTCTAGGTCTTGGTTTCCTTATCTGTAAAGTGAAAATAACAAAAGCAACAACAAAGTTTTTAGAAAGAATTAAATGAGATCACATGTGTAAAGTTCTTGACACAGTGTCAGACACATTTAAAAAAAACACTCAATAATGTTAGCTATCATCATTGTCATCATCTTGGTCTGGAAAGTCTAGTAACTCTCTAGATTTTGGGGCATAAAATAAATATTGTTTTTCTTTCTCATTCCAACCACATACTCAGAAACTGAGGAAATAACACAGATTGAATCCACAGTGAGATGGAACCAGGTCAAATTTACTCATTTATTCCCTGATTCTCACTAGCCTCTAACTTCCCACGTACACTGTTAGGATGTTTTAGATCTACAAGAATTATGTAAGCTCAGACACAGCACTTAAAATCCCCTCAAAGCTAGATATTTCCCTTTCTCCAGAGCACAGTGTCCCTAGTAAATGTTTCCAGGACTCTTTAAGGAAGGTAAAAAGAGACAGTTTATGTTCTTATTATGTCGTTTCAGTCCTTCTCCATGGATCGTAGGCCTCCTCTTCAAGCAAGATACTAACTCTGGAGATGGCTGAGAGGCTGTCTCTCACTCTTCATTGACCCTAGACAGAGTTCTTTTGATTATTCCATTAAGTAGGACTTCAGTCCATATATTTCAGTCTACTGCACCCTACCATAAATTGCTTACTGCCCCAAGTATTAAGCATTTGAGTACTACATGGGCCCTACCACATATAATGGAATTATGTTCATCCTGCCTCTGACAACTAAATGTTTCTACTCTGCCTCTGCTACCTGGAGTCCTATCATCTCCACTGAAATCAGGGAGACCATTTTAATGGCATCATTTTCCACCATTATCTCCAGCCCATAAGAGGAAGATCTTCACTACAATGCTTTCCAAGTGCTCTCTCATCAGTTTCTCAGTGAACGGGGTATGTTCTGGATTCTCATGAGGAACAGAATCCAGAGGGCCTAGATGAGCTGGTTACATGAGATGAATCCACTTCAACATCTCTTTCTCTCTAAGTCTATAGATCATTTCCTCTATACTGTGCCAAGGAATTCCTGATATCTCAGCTTCATTCAACAGAATCCATAGCTGAGTTCAGAGTATAATCAAACAACTAAGCCATCAATTAGAGCCATTCTCAGCTGCCCAAACTGGCATATCAAATCTACATTATCTGGTACATGTACCTGTGTCAATAAATTTAGCCTGATCTAGAATTAAGTCCCTTCTTTCTGGTCTAGGAATTCCTTAGAAACCATTTCCATGCATATTTCCCAGTTTTTTGCCATTATATAGTCTTATAGTTCTTCAGGAATGCAAGCCTTCTCCTCCTTGGTTTGACTGTAATTGGCTCTCTGGGCATGTTGAGATCTGACTCTGATGATGGGTTTGGAGGCAGTGAAGGATGGTAGAGGTTGGGCACAAGGAGCATTGGAATCCCCGTGCCTGTATATTTTAGGTGAGGTCAATACAGGGTACCCAAGCAAGGCAGGATCAACTTTCACCTGCCCTTAAAGGAGGAGTTGCTTTCGCTGAAATGGCAGGGCCAGTAGAGTTCTGAGGTTTGACTGTTTAGAATTATCCAACTCTTCCCAAATGTTGTTATTCAATTTTTAAAAAATTGTTAATTTTGTTAGAGACAGGGTCTTGCTCTGTCACCCTGGCTGGAGTGCAGTGGTGTGACTAGTTCACCGCAGCCTTGAACTACTGGGCTCAAGCAATTCTTCCACGTCAGTCTCCTGACTAGCTAAGACTACAGGTGTATGCTACCATACCCAGTTAATTTTTTTGTAGAGACAAAGTCTCACTTTGTTGTCCATTCTGGTCTATAACCCTTGACTTCAAGCAATCCTCCTGCTTTGGCCTCCTAAAGTACTGGGATTACAGGTGTGAGCCACTGCACTCAGCCAACTGTTCAATTTTGAGAAGTCCTATATTTTCCCAGTTAAGGCCTGAAATTCACAGACCTGATGAGGCTGTGAATTCAAATTATGGCCTGATTCGGTAACCTGCAATATCAAACTCTGCATCTGATTTTCAGTTACATGTAACTGCAGCTACAGGAGATAGGAGGACTTTTAGGATTGTCACAGAAAACTACCAATCTTCTGACAATACCTTGAGCTAAGAATCTAAAACCCGGAGACCATTGTTTTCTTTCTTTAAACTCTTCAGTGAAGTTGAAGCAGCCAAGCCACCTCAGAGTTCTGAATTCTGCATGATAATAATAATGCAGTATGGCCCTACCTCTTGGCTGGCTTTCAGTGGGCCACTTTATTTGAGTTGTCCACCAGTAGTCATTTAAGTAAGCACTGCCACAGGATTTTGTAGTCTATTATTAGTTGTATTAGTTTGGCAGGGCTGCCATAAGTAAATATTATGAACTGGGTAGCTTGAACAACAGAAATTTATTTTCTGATAATTCTGGAGGCTAGAGGTCCTAGATCAAGGTGTCAGAAAGTTGGGTTTCTTGTGAGGTCTATTTCCTGGGCTTGCAGATGGCTGCCTTCTCACTGTGTCTTCACATGGTTGTCCCTCTGTGCCTATGTCTGTGTCCTAATCTCCTCTTCTTACAAGGGCACTAGGTATAGGGATTAGAGCCTACCCTAATGACCCAATTTTAACTTATTTACTGTTTGAAAGGCCCTATCTCAAAATATAGTCACATTCTGAGGTACCAGAGGTTAGGGCTCCACACCTGAATTTTGAGGGGACACAATTCAGCCTGTAACAGTAGTAACCCATCCTCTATTAGTAAATAAATCCTCACTGCCTCCAAATCCAACTAGGTCAGCCAGCCAATCTCATATTCCCTTCCTTGAGGGACTGTTGCTTATACTCATTTCTAATATTAACTACTCTATCGACCAAGGCTCAATTGAAGAAAACAAAAACAACTATGGCTATTTTAAGCAGAAAATAAATGACTTCATATGAATAATTTGTTGCTTACAACCTCACAGGAAGGGTTGAGGTAGTAGGTTCCAGGCTACATGTCCAGGAATGACCCCTAGTACAATACTGCATAACTGTATGGCCAAGTGACCTTCTAGCTTAGCTAGAATCAGGAAGCTGATTTATCAGAAGTCACTATGACAACTGCTGGACTCTAGGGTCATGCCACCTTAACTATAATTCAGAGGTAAATAAATCATGGCCCTACCTAATGGCTTTATACTCACTCTAGAGGTGCCAAATCCACATAAGCAAAATGTGGAACTCAGTGCTGAAATCAAAGTTTTTTTAAGTGCATCTTATCGGTAGAAACTAATTACATCAGAAACTGTAGCTACAAAGGAGTCTGGGAAATGAAAAAATGTAGTTTTTAGCTTTCCAGTTACTACAGTAGCCCTCTAGAAAGAAGTCAGAACAGAAGTATAATATCATATTTACCATACCAAGTCAATTATCACCTGGACCCTAAAACATGGCAAAGACAGCCTGGAAAAAGAAAATTACAGATTAACTTACCTATGAACACAGTGTAAAAATTGTGAAGGCTGTACTAATAAAGTAAATCCTTCAGGAAAGTAGAAAATAATATATTGTGGCCAAGAGGTTATATGTATGCATTGATTCAATTGCCAAAGTACAAAAGTCTTGAGAAACAGTCTCTTTTAAATTCTTATTTAGGGCAGGCATGGTGGGCTCATGCCTATAATCCCAACACTTTGGGAGGAACAGGAGGGAGAATTATTTGAGGCCAGGAATTTTAAACCAGCCTGGACAACAGCAAGACTCTGTCTCTATTAAAAGAATAAAATAAAATTAAAAACTTATGTTTACTAATTTATTGGCATATAGTGTGGCTCAGTGAATAGATATATTTTAAACTTCTGATGATTCTATAATAACTGAATTAATTTTTCCTTATAATCTATTGACCTTTTATAAGATTTTCATGGAAAAAATAAACTACATAAAACTGGTAATGATACAGTGAAAATTAAAGCATCTGGTATAATCTTATATTCCTTTAGTGAAATAATATGAAAACATAATGAAAACCAACCAGCAAAACTGAGTTCAAATATCACTGGAAAGTGTTATGAGAACAGATGAAGGTTTTGAAAGTATTTGAAAATGCTTTAGTCCCCAAAGATTGTTTTTCACCTAGACATTGATTATTAATTTACCTTGACTCTAAGTAAAATTACATGTCAGACTTCTGAGACTTTTAATTAAAAGTGAGTCTGTCTAACTGTGTAAATTACTGTAAGCATGGGAGTTTGGCTTGCATATTAGATCTCTGGAGCCCTGCTGCTAATCTGAGTGAGTAAAGTAAGTAGCTTTCCCTCTACTTGCTCTAATAGTCTGGCTAATAAAATCACTTTCTTTGTGAGAAGGAGAGCAGGGATCAACTTTCTGCTTCTCCCCTTTAAATAAGTCCTGACAAATCAAATGGTGGATGAGGAATAAACAGAATAGATAATAAGGAAAATGGATAAACTGATCCCCAAATAACTGTGGTTTTTAAAAGCAATAGTAAAAACCACAATTACTTTTGCATCAACCTGTAACTCTGCAAATGACTGTAGTTTTGAACAGCCAAAACAGGAGGTGCACATAAGAAAATTTACTACTCAAGATACAAAAAAAGAACAAAGCAGGTGTGTCTCTAAGATACCTCGCTCCTTGGCTTACCTTACAGTGCTTGGCTTGCTTGTGAGGACATCAGGAACTTCATATCTGGGTTTTAGGGGACTCTCTTCATTAATTTTAAGTCTGAAAATATTTCCTTCTATACCATAAATTTCAGCCAGGAGAGGAACCTGGAAACAGGCAAGACATTAGCTTGAACAAGTTATCCAACTGATGGCCAATTTTGTACAAATTACAGTACTTAGGGGGATTGATCCAAGATGGCTGATTACTAGCAGCTCAGGATTGTAGCTCGCAGTGAAAACGCAAAGAACGAGAGGACGCCACACTTTCAGACAAATTTTTGTAGATCACGGACCAGGAGATTCCCAGCGGAGGAGCCCCGTGGGTCGCCAGTGTGACTCTTGTGGCCAGCGTGGCGGTTCTTGGTGCAGAGTAAACAGGACTGGGTTCCCTTTCGGTGGACGTTTGGAGCTCCGGGAAGGCAGAGTTGCCTATTCAGCTGATTGAATGAGGGACTCAAGAAGGAAGCCAGACCGGAGATTCCTGGGCAGAAAAGCACCACGAATCTTAACGCCGCTGTTTTAGCCGGCGCAGTGGGTTGCTCAGATTCCAGTGCTGAGAATCAACAAGTTGGACGTCTGCTCAGAGACCTAATTTGAAAGCTGGTAATTACAAAGATGACAGGTGGATAAATTTACAATGACAGGAAGAAACCAGCGTAAAAAGGCTGAGAATACCCAAAATCAGAATGCCTCTCCCTCTACAAGGGATCATAGTTCCTCATCAACAAGGGAACAAGGCCTGATGGAGAAGGAGTGCATTCCATTAACAGAATTAAGCTTCAGAAGGTGGATAATAAGAAACTTCTGTAAATTAAAAGAACATGTTCTAGCCCAATGTAAAGAAACTAAGAACCTTGAAAAAAGGTTTGATGAAATCCTAAGGAGACTAGATAATTTAGAGAGGAATATAAGTGAATTAATGGAACTGAAGAATACAATATGAGAACTCTGCGATGTATGCACAGGTTTTAATAGTTGAATTGATCAAGCAGAAGAAAGGATATCAGAGGTCGAAGACCAACTTAATGAAATGAAACAAGAAGACAAGATTAGAGAAGAAAGAGTAAAAAGGAATGAGCAAAGTCTCCAAGAAATATGGGACTATGTGAAAAGACCTAATTTAGGTTTGATAGGTGCACCTGAATGTCATGAAGAGAATGAATCCAAGCCAAAAATATTCTTCAGGATATTATTCAGGAAAACTTTCCTAACCTAGTAACGCAGGACAATACTCAACTCCAGGTAACACAGAGAACACCACAAAGATATTCCTCAAGTAGAGCAACCCCAAGACACGTAATCATTAGATTCACCAGGGTTGAAATAAAGGAGAAAATTCTAAGGGCAGCTAGAGAGAAAGGTTAGGTTACCCATTAAGGGAAGCCTATCAGACTCACAGCAGATCTCTCACAGCAGAAACCCTACAAACTAGAAGAGAGTGGGGCTCAGTATCCGAAATCCTCAAAGAAAAGAATTTTCAACCCAAAATCTCATATCCAGCCAAACGAAGCTTCATAAATGAAGGAAAAATAAAATTTTTTGCGAACAAGCAAGCACTCAGAGATTTCATCACCACCAGGCCTGCTTTACAAGAGTTTCTGGAAGAAGCACTATACACAGAAAGGAACAACCAGTATCAGTCATCTCAAAAACTTATCAAAAGGTAAAGAGTATCTCCATAATGAAGAATCTATATCAACTAATGGGCAAAATAGCCAGCTAGCATTAAACGGCAATATTAAACTCACAAATATCAATATTAATCCTAAATTTAAATGGATGAAATGCCCCAAAGACACAGACAGGCAAAATGAATAAAAAGTGAAAACCTATCGCTATGCTGTATCCAGATCCATCTTATAAGCAAGGACACACAAAGACTCAAAGAGTTGGTGGAAGACTTATCAATCAAATGGAGAGCAAAAAAAAACAAAAAACAAAACAAAAAAAACAGGAGTTGTAACTTTCGTCTCTGACAAAACAGACTTTAATAGTAACAAAGATTAAAAGAAACAAAGGACATTACATGATGGTAAAAGGATCAATGTAACAACAGGAGTCAATGATCATAAATGTATATGTACCCAATATAGAAACACTCAGATACATAAGACAAGTTCTTAATGACTTATAAAGAGACTTGGACTCCTGCACAGTAACAGTGGGAGATTTTTGACACCACATTGTTAATATTCAATGGATCAACAAGATAGAAAATTAACAGGAACATCTATGATTTGAACTCAGACCTGGAACAAGTAAACTCTGCGAATATTTATAGAATTCTTCACCCCAGGTCTACAGAACATACATTTTTCTCAGTATCACATTACACCTATTTTGAAAGTGACCACATAATTGAAAGTAAATCACTCTTCAGCATTTGCATAGCATTTCACAGACTTAAATGAAATATTGGTTGACTGTTTGTTATTTTCTTCCCTTATTCCTTCCTGTCTCCACTGTTAAGCACAATTATTGGCATAAAAGAGGTTTTTAATACCTATTTATAGACTGCATTTCAGCCTGGGCAATAGAGCGAGACTTCCGTTCTCTCTCCCCCTTTCTCCTTTTCTTTCAAAAAAAAAAAAAGAACAAAAGAACAAATTACAATACTTAGAAAAGTATTTGTTTAAATTATGATAGGCCAAGCAAATTGGAAAACACTGGCAATTTTTTTTTTTTTAAAAAAAAGCTCCCCAGTCTATGTAGGTACTTGCTTGGCTATAGCTGTGGTAGCAACAAGAAATATATCTATATGTGTTCTGTGGCTAGGTGAACATATAATTGTCCAAACCAGGATCTTTAGAGTGAAAGGAGTCTCTATTAATAATTACAGTGAATGACTAAAATCAAACTGAAATTGATTCATTTACATCTGGTAATAGGCCTGGGGAACTTTTACAAGAGACTGGGGAATGTAGGTAAAATTCTGCCTATGATGGGACATGGAAACAATGTAAGAACCATGAAGATAATACAGAATTTGAAAAATGAGACACAGAACAAGTGCCAGGATAATAGAAATGACTGGATTCAGGCTACAAAATGAGGCATCTAGATCAGAAAAATATTTTAAGACCATGGTTTTCAACTGGTGGGCCATGCCACACTAGCCAATTGCAAATTCTTCATGAAGTATGATGCCAAGTTTTGGTTACTACTGGATGCCTGTGTTGTTACCATTATGTCTGATAAATGACAGCTAAGCTGGGTAAGTTGTGTGATATAGCATAGAATGGGTACAATGTGGTGCAAGTAAAAGATGAGAAGTATGGAGACTGTCAAGTCAGCACCAGAAAAGTGATATTAGTGGAACTTTGCCTCTTGTGAATACAGGGAAGCAATCAGGGCAGTTAAACTGCAATATGATACTGAACAGTGACCAAGTAAACAGTGCTATGGTTGTGGATCCTTTTCTAGATATTCTAAGACAGGGATATGATGCAATGTTATCATACTGTAATTACTGCTTACATGTTTAATGTTCTTTTACATATTTAAACTACTTTTAGTATACTATTAGAATTTTAACATTTGGAAATATGTTCAAGTCAAAATGAAGCTCAAATTCTGTTTATGTATTCTCTCACTAAACATATATTTCCATTGCTCTCTCAAATTCAATTCAATTAACATTTATTTGGCATCTATTATTGCAAAGACTAAACTTTTGGGGATGCTACAATTTAGAGATAAAAGAGATGCAAAGCTAACACAGAGCATTCTGTGATAAGTGCTAAAGTAGAAAGGCAAGAGATTAAGGAAGGGAGTTATTAATGATGACTGTAGGGTGAAGAGTTCTGGATGTTCCCTGTAGGAGTAAAGGGCCACAGGAATTAGTAGGACTTTGAGTAGGCAAAAATGGGCAAGAACGTTCTAAGCAGGGGGCACATAGGTTGTCTGCCTATATATGATTAACAAATTCCATCTAGTTATTCACTCAGATTGTTCCATTTTCAGTAAAATAGCTTTCTCTGGAAAAAAACAACAACCAATTTTTGTTTAAACCAAAGAGTGACCTGTATATTCTGTTCTCCAGGCTGCAGCCCAGGTGGAAAAAAGAGGGAGCAATAATGCTGCTTTCACCATAATGACTTCATGTATAGATCCGAGCTAAATCCCATTTCAATTTTAATTCAATTTAGCAAACTTATGTTAGCAAAAATTGCTCTGAAATTTAGCAATATTCAGAGTCATTCTTTCTTTAAATTTATCTATCTATTTATATATTTATTCTGAAATGGAGTCTTGCTCCGTCAAAAGGAGTCTTATTTTGAAATGGAGTCTTGCTCTGTAACCAGGCTGGAGTGCAAAGGCACAATCTCAATTCACTGTAACCTCTGACTCCTGGGTTCAAGTTATTCTTGTGCCTCAACCTCCTGAGTTGCTGGAATTACAGGTGTGCACCACCATGCCAAGCTAATTTTCACATTTTTAATAGAGGTGGGGTTTTACCATGTTAACCAGGCTGGTGTCAAACTCCTGACCTCAAGTGATCCTCCTGGTTCAGTCTCCCAAAGTGCTGGGATTAGAGGTGTGAGCCCATGCCAAGACTTCTTTTTTTTTTTTTAATCCTTTAATCAATGGACAGATTCATTCTTATCTCTTATTATTACCAACATAGCTTTCTTGGTCCAGGCACTACTTTCCTTAGACTTTACTGTGCATTTGCTCCTATGATCTGGGCTCACATATTTTTTTTTCTTATTGGCCTTTTTTTTTTTTAATATCAGCAGACTCCCAGAAATCTAGTAAGTAACTTGGGTTAAAGACAGTGGGGAATTGCTCAGTGTCCCACTTTAGAGTCCCCTGCCTTTCCTATATTGAGTCCTGAGGCACCTCTGTGGAAACCTCAGGGCTCAGTGATGACAGTTTAAAAGCCACCTCCCTGGGGCTTAACTGCCAGTTCTTTCCCAATCCTTCTACCACATCCTTGCTCTTTCAAAAAGTCTGGACATGACTGTTATATCCTTCTACCTAAAATAGTAAGAATTTATAGATATTCCTTTTTCATTTGCTGGGACCTGCTGATACTTATAAATAAAATAATATACAAATAAACTACCAAATCTCTTCCTCCTATTAGTGATGATTGGATATGACAATGAAAAAATACACTAAGAAGTTACAGATGTTGGACTCCTTAAATTTAATATTAATTCTTAGATAATATAAGTAGTCACACTCAAATTGCAGCCAGATCAATTTATGTAAAATAAATGAACATACATCTAATAACTTTAAATGGATAGGTCAAATGAGGTAAGAGAGCATGGCTTTTGCTCTTAGAAATATTTAAGATGTGCCAATGGGTGATGCATGCATAGAGCCCCAGCTACTCAGTGGGGCTGAGGCAAGAGAATTGCTTGAGCCTAGTAGTTTAAGGTTACAGAGTACCATGACTGCACCCATGAGTAACCACTGCCCTCCAGCCTGAGCAATAAAGTGAGACCCCATCTCTGAAAAATAAGGTTTGTTAATGTCCATTTACACGGAGAAGCTGACATAAATCCTCAAAGAAAATAATGCATTTTGGAGGTTCATTTTAGTACTACAAGCCTCTACTCAGTTTTTCACATACCTTTACTCAGAAGCCCACCTCTCACAGGCTGGGAAAAAGAGCATTAATTCTCTTTTCCTGTCTTATTTCTCCCCTGCTAAATAAAAGCAATTAAAACTTTGTGGTTTGTTATTCACAATCTAGTTTTTTTTATGGTCACATAGGCAAAAATATCAGATATTTTGTAAACATCAGGGTGTTACAAATAGCTTTGTCTATGTCTTCAAGCATAGGGCTGTTCATAAACACATTAAAACAAAAACTTTTTATTCATCAGAACTTGGAATCACTGCTCATAAAGACCATAACAGACTTAACAGAACAGCCCTAGAAGACATATTTAAATTTGCAGTGGGTGTTAAGTAGGAAAATTATGACTCTGTCAACACCTCCTTGATAGGTTGATCTTGCTTTTCCTGAAGCACGAGGACTTTTCACTATTACATAAAGAACTGTAACCTAAAGGGCCTAGAACATGAGTGACCACTTCTCAGCTGTGAGCAAGACCTCCCAGGATCCAGGGAATGAATAGTTCATTAAATTGCTGTAGGGTACTAATTATCCCTTCCACATTTGTAGCCAGTTGGTTTATTGCAAGCACTGATTTTCTACAACAAATACTGGCAACCTCGGGTGGGTGCAGTGGCTCCCACTTGTAATCCCAGCACTTTGGGAAGCTGAGGTGGGCAGATCATGAGGTCAGGAGTTTGTGATCAGCCTGGCCAACACAGTGAAACCCTGCCTCTACTAAAAATACAAAAATTAGCTGGGTGTGGTGGCAGGCACTCTGGAGGCTGAGGTGGGAGAACTGCTTGAACTCGGGAGGTGGAGATTGCAGTGAGCCAAGACCATGCCACTGCACTCCAGCCTGGTTGACAAAAAAAAAAAAAAAAAAAAGAATATTAGCAACCTTTGGCTGGGCATTGGCCTGTTCCCCAAGGACAATTAGTCCTTCTGAATTTTTGGCCAATTCCCAAATTAGCTGCCTGTTTCTGGCCATTTCTGCAAACACAGTACTGGCTAACAAATGGTAGTTGTGCCTACTCTGCTGAGAAGGTGGCTGGTTGGGCAAAGCCACATTTTCATTAGGCTTAGATGAAGAAGCAAGAGGTAACTTCATAGAGGTGTACAGAGATATTCCTGCATCCTTGGAGATGCTGCTGGAAGTGTTGTCTCTGGTGAAACCTTACAAACAGGCTTCAAAAGAAAATAAGCATGTTGCCAAATGGTCACCTACATAATGAGAAAGCATCATAATTAGCAATATAAAGTAGATTGCTTCAGACATCTTCACTAGCAGGGCTATTTAAGCTAGACTCAGAAGACAGCATACGTTTTTCTTTGCCTAAATAACAAGACTAGATCTCTATTCCTCAATCCAGATCAAACTTTCACTGAAGATAAGAAACTGATAGTAGTAGGAAAAAAAACAGAACAACTACTGAGTTCTAAAAAAGCAGTCAACACTTTCCTGATCACTTTCTTTTTAGATTTCCTTCTGGAAGCCGCTTTACTAAATATCTACCTGATTATTCTGTCATCAAAACAAGCAGGACACTATATTAGGACTCTACATGAGAAAACTTAAGCATCTGAACCTGCAACTGGCTTTCCTCCAAAGCCTGGATGTTCTGACCTGGCAACAACACACAGGTCAACACACCAGCTTGTTTTGTAACAGATCTACGTCCTAGGAACATCATGTTTACTATGGACTGAATGGTGTCTTCCCAAAATTTGCTATGAAAGCTCTAACCCACTATATGATGGTATTCAGAGATGAAGCCCTTGGGAGGTAATTAGGTTTAGATGAGGTCACTAGGTTGAGCAAGTCCTCAGGAATGGATTAATGCCCTTATAAGAAAAGACCAGGCCAGTTGCAGTGGTTCACGCCTGCAATCCCAGCACTTTGGGAGGCCAAGGCAGGCAGATCACAAGGTCAGGAGTTCGATACCAGCCCAACCAATATGGTGAAACCCATGTCTCCACTAAAAATACAAAAAAATTAGCAGGGCATGGTGGCACATGCCTGTAAATCCAGCTACTCAGGAGGCTTAGAGAAGAGAATCACATGAGCCCAGGAGGCAGAGGTTGCAGTGAGCTGAGATCCCACCACTGTACTCCAACCTGGGTGACAGAGCAAGACTCAATCTCAAAAAAAAAGGACCAGAAGGAAGGCCAGGGTACAGTGGCTCACGCCTCTTATCCCAGCACTTTGGGAGGCCGAAGTGGGCAGATCACTTGAAGTCAGGAGTTCCAGTTCAGCCTGGCCAACATGGTGAAACTCCATCTCTACTAATAACACAAAAATTAGCTGGGTGTGGTGGTGCACGCCTGTAATCCCAGCTACTCAAGAGGATGAGTCAGGAGAACTGCTTGAACCTGGGAAGTGTAGGTTGCAAGTGAGACTAGTCTTGCCATTGCACTCCAGCCTGGGTGACAAGAGCGGAACTCCATCTCAAAAAAAAAAAAAAAAAAAAAAAAACGATGAGAGAGCTTGCGCACACTCTCTACTACGTGAGGTCACAAGAAGGCAACCATCTATAAACCAGGAAGAGTGCCCTCATGAGTCAGTGAAGCTGCTGGTACCTTGATCTTGGAATCTGCAGCCTTTGGAACTGCAAGAAATAAATATCTGTTGTTTAAGCTTCCCAGCCAATGGTATTTGGTTATGGCAGCCTAACACAATGTAAAATGAAGCTTGGTTCTGCTTCCAGGTTGTTTATTAAGGAGCAGATTGGGGAAATAAATTGGGAGGAAGAAATTTAAAAATTAATAAATCTTGACAACTCTGAATTACTGATTTAAGGGCTGTAAAGATGTAGAGGCAGGCAGGCATCAAGAGCACTGGATTTGTCAGAATCTGCATGATCAGTGCAATTTGAGAACTGCAGCTGTGAGCTGAACATGATCCTCCTAGACTGTGGGCTGTCCTTCTCAACCTGAAATAAAAAGCTATCATTCTGAATAAGCATATGTATGCAGTTTATTTTAAAACTTCAGATCACACTCAAATCATATCTTAATGTGCAATCTCCTTGAAATACCCATCTCATCCCAGAAACCATTTTTAATAGAGGTTCTTTGTTATTTAAAAAAAAAAGAATTTTGAGACAGAGTCTCACTGAGTTGCCCAGGCTTCAGTTCAGTGGCACAATCTTGGCTCACTGCAACCTCTGATTTCCAAGTTCAAGCAATTCTCTTGCCTCAGCCTCCTGAGTAGCTGGGACTACAGGCATGTACCACCACGCCCAGCTAATTTTTTTTTTTTTGAGATGGAGTCTGGCTCTGTCACCCAGGCTGGAATGCAGTGGCACAATCTCAGCTCACTGCAACCTCTGCCTCTTGGGTTCAAGAGATTCTCCTGCCTTAGCCTCCACAGTAGTTGGGACTACAGGTACACGCTACCATGCGTGGCTAATTTTATTTTTAGTAGAGATGGGGTTATACTATGTTGGTCAGGCTGGTCTTGAACTCCTGAGCTTGTGATCCGCCCACCTCAGCCTCCCAAAGTGCTGGAATTACAGGTGTGAGCCACTGCAATTGGCCTAATTTTTGTATTTTAGTAGAGACGGGGTTTCGCCATGTTGACCAAGCTGGTCTCAAGCCCCTGACCTCAGGTGATCCATCTGCCTTGGCCTCCCAAAATGCTGGGACTGCAGGCATGAGCCACTGTACCTGCCTAAACAGGAATTTAAAAGAAACTGTTTCTCAAGACTTTTGCAGTCTGGCAATTAAATCAATGCATATGTATAACCTCTTGGCTACAATAGCCTACTACCCTGAAGGATTCACTTTATTTTATTAGTACAGCCTTCATGATTTTTACATTTATGTTCATAAGTTATTCTGTAATTTTCTTTTTCCATGCTGTCTTTGCCATATTTTAAGTCAAATTTTTTTTGGACAATGTCTTACTGTGTTGCCCAGGCTGCAGTTCAGTGGCACAATCTCGGCTCATTGCAACCTCTGCCTCCCAGGGTCAAGCGATTCTCATATCTCAGCCTTTGGAGCAGCTGGGATTACAGGCATGCCCAGGTAATTTTTAGATTTTTTAGTAGAGACAGGGTTTTGCCATGTTGGCCATGGTTGGTCTCGAACTCCTGGCTTCAAGTGATCTGCCTTCTTTGGCCTCCTAAAGTGCTGGAATTATAGGTGTGAGCCACCACGGCCAGCCTAATAGAGGCTCTTTCACTATGCAATGAGCTGCATACAAAAACACAGGCAAAGTTAGCAATCACCATCATCTCTGTTGTCCCTATCAGACTGACAGAGGGTATGAAACCTTATGTACCTACTAGTCATCTCAACACCACATGACAAAGAGGACATTAAAATGGAGTTCAGTCCAGAATTTCAGAATGATCTCCCAAAATATATATTTGCATACATTTGCCTGAGATGCATGCAGATACCCTATGCGGTTCCAATACTTCTAATACCTGAGCATGAAGTCTTTTCCAAGAGGTCCTGAAAGTTCTCACTCTTGGGAGCTATGTTGCTGACATTCCAGATAATTTGTCCTTGTTTATCAGGTTCCTCAGCTTCCCTCTGAGTCAGGGGCTGTCTTGTGCTAAGATCCTGTGACTCCTCCTAGACTGTGGCTTCTTTGCCTTTGAAGGCATCCAGTTTCTGGGCTCTGGTCCTGGCACCTGACCTGAACAGTACTGTCTCTTTCATTTTCATGATCCAAAAAGAGAAACTGATCTACAGTAATGTAAAATGGCATATGTGGGTGTCCACCACAATCTGGTATCACACTGTGTTGAGAATTTTCATTTTCACTCACCACTGATATTCAGGGTGATTCTGCCTCATTTACTTTGCCTCAGCACATGTCTTCATGACGAGGTGCTCAACCTACTAGGCATACTCAAGGATGGGTAGGGATTCTTGCCCTCACCATGGACAACTACAAGTCTCTCAGGCTAGACACCATGGAAACAAGAAGGAAAATGAGAGAATGACAAGAAAAATGAGACAGGAAGATTCTTGACATCTGGTCAAGGCCTAAAGACTTCTAGAAGGCCTCTGGTGGACTTAATGCATTTCCTGGAGCCAGCTGTTTCTGATGACTCTGAAAACAGGGGTTTGACTGGATGTCAGGCTATGAGACCACATGCAAACAGTGGTTGGCTCTCCAGAAGGAAATTAGTGCTACCCCGTTTTTTCCATGAACAGCTATAAAACTAGGCTACAAAAGGGTATATTAAAAACATTATAAACTTGGAACCAACCCAAATGACCATCAGTGATAGACTGGATAAAGACAATGTGGCACATACATACCATGGAATACTATGCAGACATAAAAAAGCATGAATTCATATCCTTTGCAGGGACATGGATGAAGCTAGAAACCATCATTCTCAGCAAACCAACCCAAGAACAGAAAATCAAATGCCACATGTTCTCACTCTTAAGTGGGAGATGAACAATAAGAATACATGGACACAGGGAGGGGAATATCACACACAGGGCCTGTCAGGGGGTGCAAGGCTAGGGGAGGGAAAGCATTAGGAGAAATACCTAATGTAGACGATGGGGTGATGGATGCAGCAGACCACCATGGCATGTGTATAACTATGTAACAAATATATATATATATATATAATAATTTGGATATAAAGTGAGATATCCATATATATATATATATGGATATAAAGGGAGACCCGAATCAGCATTAGAGATTAGAGAACCTATGGCTTTGTGGGTACCATGAGCTGAGAACTCAAATGTAACAAAGATATTAGGCAAGGGGGCAAATACCTCCAGAAAAATGGGTGGTGTAAGAATCAGCACTAGGTTTTGGAGAAAGGCTAACTGCCTCACCTGTGCAGCTAAGAGAGCTGAACTAAGTGCACTGTCACAATAGCTATGTTGCAGAAGTTGAGGACAGAGGATGGGGATAGAGAACACAGAACTGTTGATATGATTCTAGCTCATATTTTAAATTTGGGCAAGAAAGTTATGGAAGAGGACTCCATGTGACTAAAATCTCTATAACTCCATAATGAAGGTAGTTTTCTTCACTGCACAGTTGCTTTTTCTGTCTGGGAATAAAGTTGAGACCCATTTCTACATTAAAGGGCTTACAAATATTATGGAGAACCCACTAATGTAGGGCAGTTCTTGTTCTGTATTCTTTGATGTGTTTCCTCAGTACAGAGCTGCAGGGCAGAAACTACGGTAGTCACACAGCTTTGCCATAAATGTCAGCTTCCCAGACCCAGGACTTGTTAGTGAGTTGGTGCAGTTATTATCCAAGCAGCTAAGCAGCTCAGGTGATGGAACACTTCTTACTTAGGCTTTCAATTGCATAGTACCCTTGCCTGTCCTATTCCCCCAGCTCACCTGCGTTTTGAGATTTGGACATACCCCGAATTTGTACCTTGCTCAGGCTGCACACACATTGTGTAATAGTGTTAGAAAGCATGTGGGTGGTAAGTGTCTGACAGATGCAGGAGAAAATTTTGGTTACTAAATATGAGATTTTGGGCAAGTGGCTTTCTAAACTTCATTTTCCTTATCTGAAAATTGGAGATAACATAATATACATCTTAGATGTGTTATGAAGACTAATTTAAAGGAAATAACATTTGTAAAACGTTTAGGAAAACATGTGATACACAGGCAATCTAAACTGATACTCATATATCTATTATAGTATTATTAGTGTAGATGTAAAAAGATGACATTTATTTTCTTTTTCCTTTTTCGAGAGAGGGTCTCACAGTGTTACCCAGGCTGAAATGCAGTGGCACTATCACGGTTCACTGCAGGCTTGACTTCCTGGGCTCAAGAGATTCACCCACCTCAGCCTCCCGAGTAGCTGGGATTACAGGCATGCACCACTGTGCCTGGCTAATTTTTTGTACTTTTTGTAGAGATGGGTTTTGCCATGTTGCCCAGGCTGTTCTCAAACTCCTGGGCTCAAGCAATCTGCTCAACACTGCCTCCCAGAGTGTTGGGACTACAGGTGTGAGCCACTAATCACTAAAAGGCCAAAATTCCTTTTCTAATGAGGTTTATTTTTCAAGCACACATAGCTTTAATTGGCTTTTGTGGAAATTTACTTCAGTCAGCCCCAATAAATACTGACACAAATTATTCTCTGTAGAAAATACTTCCATCTCACCTTACTTGCTTCATTGATGATTTGGAACCTGGTGCTGTCTTCAACTGTTGTGACTGAGTCTAGTAATACCTGATAGGTGGACTTCTTGGAAAGCCACTGTTTCTGACGCCTATAGATACAAAGTATACAGATGTTTGATAATTATTTGTGATTGTCAATATCTAACAGACTGTATTATGTGCAAGTCATTAAAATTCACTATGATATTCAGTGAATTTCAGGGCACAAACAGTACTAGTACTATAATAAAGTACTAATCAGAAACTTTATTATTAGAGTGTTAATGAGTATTAGTAAGAAAACTAATAAAAGTGATTAATATAACATTGCTCAAAGGATGACATCTTGTCTCCTTTATTGAGATGGTGGGGCAATTTTCATAGATGACATTTGTGAGCTTATTAATTTCCTTCCCTCTTTCCATAAAATGGACTTTAATAGTAACTCAACAATTTGTAGTGGGAATTCAATATAATCTAGTGGTTTAACAAGGTTACCAGGCATTCACTACAGACTTCTCTTTAGATATCTGTTCAGAATTAAAATAATATGCTTTTCTTCCTATAGAACAGACAGTGAATACATCAGAAAGCTATACTAGCTGGGTGCAGTGGCTCACTCCTATAAGACCAGCACTTTGGGAGGCTGAGGTGGGCAGATCACCTGAGGTCTGGAGTTTGAAACTATCTGGACCAACATGAAGAAACTCTACTAAAAATACAAAATTAGCCAGGTGTGGTGGTGCATGCCTGTAATACCAGCTACTTGGGAGCCTGAGGCAGGAGAATCACTTGGACCCGGGAGGTGGAGGTTGCAGTGAGTTAAGATTGTGCCATTGCACTCCAGCCTGGGCAACAAGAGTGAAACTCCATCTCAAAAAAGAAAAAAAGAAAAAAAGAAAGCTACACTAGATAATTTTTGATGATTTCAGTTTCAAGATCACATAAAGGAAGACTTTTTTTAAAATGAAGATTTAAAAGATGTATTTTTTGCAGCCCTGGAGAAACAAGCAATTTTTTCTTTTTTTGAGATGGAGTTTCACTCTTGCCACCCAGGCTGGAGTGAAATGGTGTGATCTCAGCTCACCGCAACCTCCACCTCCCGGGTTCAAGCAATTCTCCTGCCTCAGTGTCCTGAGTAGCTGGGATTATAGGCATGGGCCACCAGACCTGGTTAATTTTGTATTTTTAGTAGAGACGCAATTTCTCCATGTCGGTGGGGCTGCTCTCAAACTTCCGACCTCAGATGATCCGCCTGTCTCAGCCTCCCAAAGTGCTGGGATTACAGGCTGAGCCACTGTACCTGGCCAGGCAATCTTATATAATGGTGATAGGAGTACAAATGGTATAATTCCTATGGAGGGAAATCTGGTAATAGTTAACACATTTCAAATGCATTTACTCTTTGACCCAGTAATCCCACTTCTAGAAATGCATCCTATAAATACACCTCCATGTGTAGAAAATGACCTATGTATAGCTCTTCATTGCAGTAGTGTTATTTTAACAATAGATTAAAACAACCCAAGCGCCTAGCAATAAGAGACAGACTGAATAAATTATATTAATAGTAGATCTACCCAATGGAATATTATGCAGCTGTAAAAAGAGGAAACAATCTCCATGTACTCATATGAATTGCTCCTCAGAACAAACTATACAGCAGGAAAAAAAAAACCTATTTGGTATAAGAAAGGGTGATTAAAAAAAGGGGGAATAATATAAAAATACATGTATTCACAAAAAGAAATACTAGAAGCATAAATAAAAAATGAAGAAATTTGGTTACTTGGCACAAGATGAGGACTGAGTGGAAGTAACATTTTTCAATGTATACATCTTTATATTATTTTTGAACCATGTAAAAGTGTTATCTATTCAAAGTGTCAACATTTAAAAACTAATTTAAAACTATTTTGGCTTTTAAAATAAAATAGCTGTTTACTGAAAAATTTAAATACTTCAGGAGTAAATTTATAAGGTTAAAAGTGAGTCTCCTGATGATTTCCTTATTTAATTATCCTTTCTTTGGAAAGTCTATCAGTTCTCAAAAATTTACTAAGCATCAATTTTGAAATATTGTCAGTAATATTTTCATGTAGGTACATTTGTTTTCCTTACCTGTAAAATGCGATCCTGTTGCAGTCTCTGAAAATGTTTTTATCCACAGCTTCATCTTTGACACTAAATAAAATGACATTTTGAGAAATTTATTTTACACAGGGTTTGTGAGTCCAATTTTTGTACCTTCTCTAACTACGGTATGAACATGCGAAATAAACCTTTGGAGTCTATTCTGCAAAGCAAAACTGTGTCATGGCCATAGTATAACATAAAGCACATTATGCTTTAGAATAATAACCTTTTGTAAATCCTCTGAGGTAAACAACAAAACATCAAGTTCTGGGATTACTGTGAAAGTAATGGGAAACGAGCACTGTCACTTATGAGGACATATTTTTTGGAAATAGTACTGAAGACTATGACTGCAAAAGTAAAACCTGAAGGAGCAAAACCAAACCAAACAAACCAAAAACAACCAACAAGACAAACTAATAACCACAACCCACGGACTGATTTATTTAAAAAATTTTTTTCAGACTATTCTTCCTGGGTTGCAGGCTCTGGGGAAGATACGGACAGTGTTCAAGCTGTCTGTAAGAGTTTTACCAGCAATAACAATACAAGCTGACAAATGCTTTAATAGAGGTGCAAGGTTCTAGAATAAGAACAGAACAGATGCAGAGGGGAAATCTCTTGCTTTTTAGGATAAGGTGACAATCCAGGGTCCAAAGGTTTTTAAAATCAAGTTTCCAGAAGAGCTGTTTCTGGAATAAAACATGAACAAGATGTATGTATATTATAGTTTGAGTACACGTATTTAAACTACCTTCCAACTGATTAAAACAACTACAGATTATAAGCAGAAAAAAATAACACTGGTTTTCAGGCACTGCTGTGACCGTATCCGTAGTCAGCATGTTCATGAATATGTAGAAAGCTATGACTGAACACAACAGACGAAAAAAACAAGCCTAGGTAGATACACTTGGCGATACTAAAAAACTGTTTATCTTTCATTGAACTCAGTCTTTGTCAGTTTATTTTAAAAGTATTTTTGAGACAGGATCTTGCTTTGCCGCCTAGGTTGAAGTAAAGTGGTATCATCTCAGCTCACTGCAACTTCCACCACTTGGGCTCAAGCTATCCTACCCCCTTAGCCTCCTAAGTAGCTGGGACTACAGGGCCACATCACCACATCTGGCTAATTAAAAACCTTTTTTTTTTTTTTTTTTGTAGAGACAGGGATTCACCATGTTGCCCAGGCTGGTCTTGAACTCCCGGGCTCAAGCAATCTGCCAACCTAGGTCTCCCAAAGTGCTGGGATTACAGGTATAAGCAACTCGGCCCAGTTTATTTTAATCAAGTGCACAAAGACTGGAGAATCTTGTGTTTCCTCTTTCCAGCTTTGAAGAGTTAACTCTGGGATGATATAGAAAGAGGTGGTTATAGTTGAACTTGGAAAGCAACATGCCAGAAATTCAGGTAGAGTTCACACTGCAACTTTTCCATTGTTAATGTTATTTAACCATCCTTTTTTTTGGAGACAGGGTCTCACTTTATTGCCCAAGCTGGAGTGCAGTGGCAAGATCACAGCTCACTCCTGGTCTCAAGGGATCCTCCACTGGTCTCCTAAGTAGCCGGGACTACAGGTGTGTGCCACCAGTCCCAGCATTTTTTTTTTTTTGTAGAGACAGGGGTTGGAGGGGAGGGCCGGCGGCGGGGGGGGGGGGGTCTCCCTAGATTGCCCAGGTTGGTCTCGAACTCCGGGACTCAAGTGATTCTCCTGGCCTGTGGGATTACCAGCGTAAGCCACTGCACCTGGCCTTTTAACCATCCTGAAAGTATTTTACGAGAGGCTATTAATATCAACTAACTCCCTGCAAATTGAGAGAAAAGATAAAGGTGAGCAAATACCAAACATGCAAATAAGAAGTGCAATAAAAAAAAAAAACAATGAAATCTTCAAAGCCAAAATGTTTTCAGGTACTACCCCGTTTCTTGGGACCCTGGGGTCAGTCACTGCAGGAGCACTTAGCCTTTACCTGATTTCCTCCTTCTCAGCTGCTTCCATGACTTCTCTATCACTCCGAACAGCTCCCAGCTCTTAGGCCAAGGCCCTGGGCGATCTTTTAAAAAAGCCAATTAGCTGTCTTTCTAAAATTACAACCAGCACTTCGGCGTCAAGTTTCTGGGAAGGGAGTCCCCCTCCAGATCCTCATGGAGTGACAGATCTTAAGTCTTGCTCCTGGAATTTTTCAGTCCCAAACTAGCGTTTCTACAATGATTTATTTGGCAAATCTGTCTTGATTATGGGTGGCTGAGGAGGAAAGTGCTTTTGTTAGGAACCGAAACTGTCAGTGCGGTGGTGAGAGCGGGTACGCAATAAACTGCAGAGGGTAAAAATCAAGAGGGTGAGAACCGGGTTTGTTTACACAGGGTTTGTGAGTCCAATTTTTGTACCTTCTTTTTAGGCTAGAGGGAATATCAGGGCCACTTCAGTAACAGAAATGCCGAGACGGCCTCCCTAACTGGGACGAAGCATCTGCAGGTCTATCTCAGTAGCGGGGTCACGCCACGGATTTTGAAAACTGACCCTCCGTCTCCCAGTTTTCGGTGAAGAGTGGGAAGTGTCGGCCCAGTCTTTGGTGGAGTTTAGGTCACCAGCCAGATTCTACTGCAGCATCGTACTCCTCCGGACTAGAAGGTGTCTTCGAAGGTACACTACCCACTCTAGGAATCGCGTGTCCTCCACCACTGCCGAATTCCAGCCTTTGCTCAAATACCGCCCAAACCGGAGAACTCACTACTGGATGCCAATTGGGTAGCCAGGCATAGGGCTTTTCTAGACTTTCTGGCCCCAAAGTCTGACAGACTTAGAAGGGATGAGGGGCTGGGGCGAGCGGGAGAAGTAGAGCGACAACTCCCACACGGGGTGCCTGCCTGGTCCCCCAACCCTTTAAGGGTCGGCAGAGAGAAAAGACCCAGGACAGGATGGCATCTGGTGATCTCCTTAACCCAGCTGACCAGGTTTCAACGGGACGACGCCTGCGCTGTAGGTCCAAAGTCTCACGGCGCAGAGACGACTGTGTGACGGAGAGGTCGCTAGTTCACACAGCAAACAAAAACCGCGAGGTTTCCAGGACCCGGATAATCCCGCCCTGAGAACAGAGCCGGAAGAAGGCGGGACGAACCGGAAGAAGGTGAAATGCTTTCGGTAGGCACTCAACGGCTGTGAAGATGGCGGCGGCTGCGTGGCTTCAGGTGTTGCCTGTCATTCTTCTGCTTCTGGGAGCTCAGCCGTCCCCACTGTCGCTTTTCAGTGCGGGACCGGCACCGGTGGCTGCTGCCGACCGGTCCAAATGGCACATTCCGTTACCGTCGGTGAGTATTCACTTCTCTAGCGTCTGAACCTAGAGGAGCAAGGGGTGGGGCTACGGCGGCCCAAGGGGTCCATGAAGGTTCCGCAAAAGTCTTTTCAAAAGGGGTGGGCTGGCTGGGAAGGTCTGTGTCGTTGTCCCACTGGGACCCACCTACCTGGAGCGGAAAGCCGCGCACTTCTGTGGTTAGGCTTGAGGGAATATCAGGGCCACTTCAGTAACGGAAAGGAGTGGTGGAGTGGCTTCTTCTCATGAAAGCAGAACTTTGAGTGCCTGCCTTGACATGTAAACTCGATGTACAGACGGAGACTGGTTTATCTTTCGGATTATGTTTCACTGAATCCTGTAATCCCGGGTTGGATAAGAGAGATATGTAAATAGGAATATTCATTTCTTTTTTTTTTTTTTTTCTCTCTGCACTTCTTTTGTCCCTGAGTAATTCTACTTATGAGATGGTTCGACTTCGCTTCAACTTTGAAATGGCTATTCTAAGCTTTACTGTGTGACTAGAAACCGTAGAGATTTAAAAAATGTGTTTTAACATGGGAATAGTTAAAACGCGAGAAATGGCACTTAAAATTTAATGTGGTAAGGCTACTCTTTTATTCGGACAATTAGCTATATGGGTTGAACCTTTCTGCTCCGTACCCATTTTAAATCTTATTTCAGTAACAGGTATAGTCCTGTGAGCAGGCAAAAACCAAATGCAGGGAGGAAATGCTGAAAAGCGTTACTCCCATTAAACCTACATTGGCCTTGTTGTTTCATTCTGCTGTGCTCAGTGATTGTAATGTCCAAATCTTATTTGGGCTTTTATATATGGCAAACATACCTTTTGTTCATTGGTGAAGATTTTTCAGATTTTCTATTAGGTTTTTACTTGTCACTAAAATGGTTAATAAGTCTTTTTAGATTTGAAAATAGAACTGTGGTTATCTGCACATAGAATAGTTCATTTGAAAAAATGGTTGGTTATTCTGGGCAGTGATTGGTGAGTAAAGGGAATGAACTGATTAAGGGCTACATCATGTAAACATTTAAGTTAAGTTGGGATTTCTAGCAGCCTTAGGTAGTCACACTATGCCTTGGGAATTGAAGCCATCTGAGGCTAATTATCTTTCCTGTATCTTTGCAGGGGAAAAATTATTTTAGTTTTGGAAAGATCCTCTTCAGAAATACCACTATCTTCCTGAAATGTGAGTTTTTGAATTTCATGAAGTTTTAATTTGAATTTTAAAAATGTATAGGCAAATTTTAAAATTACCAAAAGTTTTAAATTACCTAAATTTTTTAATTTCCTTAGTTCTGAAATCTAATAGTATAGCATTATCTAGGTATAAATATTTTTAGTATAACTAAATTCCTTTCACCGAATCATCTTCAAAATACCCGTGTGAACTTTATTTTCTTCTCTTGTTTTTCTGGTGTTTACACTGCATACATATACGCTATGTATACATCATATATTAGCATATATATGTTATATATAATATATAATATGTTCAGTAAATGAAAGCATATATAATGTATATATTAGCAAATATGCTGTATATATTACATTGAATATATTCAATTACATCTCAGTTGAATTACATTTACAGTTGATAAATTCTGAGAAAAGCATCCTTAGGTGATTTTGTCATTGTGCAAACATCATAGAGTAAAAACTGGATGGTACTACACACCTAGTCTATATGGTACAGCCTGTTGTTCCTAGGCTACAGACCTGTATAACATGTTACTCTACTGAATACTGGAGGCGGTTGTAAAACAATGGTAAGTTTTGTGTATCTAAAAGGTAGATATACATATTTGTAGATATAGAAAAGTAGAGTACACATACGATGTTACAGTTCTATAGGACTACCATTGTATATGTAGTCTTTCATGTACCAAAATGTTACACAGTGTGTGACTGTGATTATGTTGGGTGATTCCCTGTATGGTTGTTTTACTCTGTCCTGTGTAGACTAAAGAGGTTTTACTGTTGTGTGCTTGTTAAATGTTAACTGAAAACATGACCTAGCTTTGTCAGGCCATTGGCTGTGAAGTGATTTATTTAGTAGATTTTATATTTACAAAAGGAGTATTTTACTGCCTCAGAGGAAGAACCTCAGATATTATCAGGAAACAGGGATTGTGTAGAACAAAACTAGTTTGTCTAGTGGAAAAATGACTGTCTGAATCTAAAGTATCCCATCATCTGTTAAATGAAAGCTTCCTTTTAGTCTCCTTTTAGTTCTGAAACTGGCTTTAATTTAGAGAATGATCAATCGTGGACAGCTTTATTTCTAGGTGAGGGATAAAAATCTTGATGTTCAATGTGTGATTCTATGCATACTCTCTTCACGAAATTGCTAAATAATAAGTCACAGTTGGATGATTTTATTCTTTCAGTTGTTTCAAGTAAGTGATTATTAATTACTTATTACATAGACAGCAAGAAAGTGATAGAAAAATGTTCTTTCCTCATTGAGTTTACATTCTAGTGGGAGTGAAAGCAGCAGGTAGAATTTCTCTGAAGAATATACTATGTCCATGAATATATAATCTCCTGACCAATGACTTACATTTGATTTAGATCAAATCTACTCTGACAGTGGCCTTGTGAGATTGGTTTAGTAGGTAACCTAGGTAACCTCCTAACCGTTATCTTTTGAAATAGCATGACAGCCTGTTTGCTGCTGTATTCTTTTATTAGGTCCGGTCTTTTTTTTCACTTGTAGTTTCATCTAACAGTGTTTTGTCAAATTAAACGAACTGCATTTTATTTTGTTTATTTATGTTTTTTGAGATGGGAGTCTCTCTCTGTCACCCAGGCTGGAATGCAGTGGTACCATCTTGGCTCAATGCAGTCTTCGCCTCCCAGGTTCCAGTGATTCTACTGCCTCAGCCTCCTGAGTAGCTGGGACTGCAGGTGTGAGCCACCATCCGCAGCCCCTGCCTATTTTGAAGTGTTTGTATTTCATTGTTTTTGGAGGATTTGAGGCAGTTCATTTTTGTTGTTGTTGTTTTTTGGGGGAGTCTTGCTGCAATGCCCAGGCTAGAGTACAGTGGCGTGATCTTGGGTCACTGCAACCTTCGCTTCCCAGGTTCAAGCAATTCTCCTGCATCAGCCTCCAGAGTGTCTGGGACTATAGGTGTGTGCCACCATACCTGGCTAATATTTGTATTTTTAGTAGAGGTGGGGTTTCACCTTATTGGTCAGGCTGGTCTTGAATTTCTGACCTCAATTTATCTACCTGCCTTGGACTCCCAAATTTCTGGGATTACAGGTGTGAGTCACTGTGCCCAGCCTGAGGCACTTTAAAATTTACGTTATCTTTTTCTTTGTTACTTCTGTGCTTTCTCATATTTAGCAGTTGTCTTCGATTTTGTACTTTTTTGGTGATGGTATATAGCTTCCCATGGAATAGCTGGGACCATTTTTATTGTCTCTTAGAGCCTTTCATTTAAAGTTCTAAATGTTGTCTTTTAACATAAACAGCAGTATTTTTGCAGCCAAATTTCCTGACAGTCTCCTGTTTGGGGGTTGTGTTCTTACTGGCTTTTAATTAGTTAATCTTATCTCGGTATGGATTCTTCTGAATAGTTCATAGCCCAATTTCCATATCCTTTTTATCATTTCTATAAATTCTATCCAGCAGGTGAGATTTTTTTTTTCTTTGCATTACCCTGATGATGGGTCAGATTTTTTTTTTTTTTTTTTGAGATGGAGTTTCGCTCTTGTTACCCAGGCTGGAGTGCAATGGCGCAATCTTGGCTCACGGCAACCTCCGCCTCCTGGGTTCAGGCAATTCTCCTGCCTCAGCCTCCCAAGTAGCTGGGATTACAGGCATGCCGCCACCATGCCTAGCTAATTTTTTTTGTATTTTTAGTAAAGATGGGGTTTCACCATGTTGACCAGGATGGTCTCGATCTCTTGACCTCGTGATCTACCTG